TGAAATTACCAAAACCCGAACATTTTAATTCCAAATCTCTGGAGATTTGATGATAATGTACATAGATCATAGATTCACTGCACGTACCTGTCGTTACACTAGATCAGAGTTCACCGTACTTATTTCACCGTACTTGTAAATTTTTAAATATATGAATTGGTAGTTCCTACCATGTTATGGTGCAAATGATCTGGTAAAGTAACGTGAAATTGATATTTGAAAATGTGCGTTGTTTGTAATTATAAGGAAGCACTTAGCGGTGAGGACTAAGAGCGCAAAAGGATAAAAGTTCGGAAATTTAAAAATGTATAATAGAGCACGAGAAAATTGGTGTTATGTACGTAATAGTAATACACTGATTTATACCCTGCGATCTTGATATCGTTTCGTGGGACCACAAGTATTCTATCGAAGATAACATAACCGATAACAAGTACTCTATCGATGTTTCAGACATGATGAACCGAAAAACACGAAAGATAATATTAAGTAAAGATAATAAAGAAAGATAATAAGGAAATCAGAAAGATGATTTACAAGTTTCGAAGATTAATCTATAACGAAGCTTACACGTGAAAGAGAAGTCTTTCGGGAATATTCTTTCGAGCCTTGCTTGATGATTAATCTTGTTATATTACATTATCATGCAGAAAATAATTATCTCTAATTTACGTAGTAGATTAACGTTCGATTGATGTGTTACAAAAAATCATCAGATAACGATAAAAAAATTACATCTTGATCTCGATCTAGAAACGTTTTTAGATGAATGTAATACTAGATGCCATTTTTTTATAAAAATGCTGCAAGACTCGACAATTTCTGTAACCCGTAAAACGAATACATACAATCAAATCAATTATTCTGAGAGATCAATAAAATTCAACTTTCAATGATTCTTTTTATACCAAATTCTATGATAATTATCAATATATTCATATGTTCAATATAAAAACTGTGATAGAATCTTAAGAAAGCATAGCAAATTTATATAATGAAATCATTATTATAGATCGCAATTCTGTATATTTGACTAATATAAAATATCGTAACTATGTATAAAATATCGTAACTATGTTTTCCTAAGAGCATATCACATTTCCTATGTTGAACGAATATATAGTCCATTTATCATAAATCCGTTACAAAAAGATTTATTTAATGAATTCGATGAACCCACCAGCTTTTGAAATAAATAAAGGTTAGATTTAATTTTAGCAATTTTAACGATAGCTTTTTTTGAGTGATATAATGCAACATTTGATAAATTTAATAAAGATTGCTTATAAGTTAACATGTTAAAATTTAAATATTACAACAAATTAAATTGAATGTTTTTGTTTTTTTTGTCACCAGTACCGAAAATGCAAATTTTAAATGACACCAAGAAATTCAATATTTTGAAAAAGTGATTACCTCACTTTTTTCGCATAAATCCTAGAACTAACCCAATATGTCTGAAAGACATCAACTTCTTCTGCAAATTTACTAATCATTTCCCTGTATTTATGTTCACTAACTCCCAAAAAAGGCATTAAATAAAATCTCATCTGATTCAACAACGTTGTCCAATTTATTAATGCAATTTCACTAATGTTACCATACCAATTACCGATCGGAAAATATTCCTCTTCGATGCTGATGGATGTTAGTCGTGAATTAGAATAAAGTAATGATTTAATTTTCGGTATCATTAGAGGACTTCTCTCAATTGCTTTATAGTATGATAGAACTATTTAATTAAATTAAATTATGTATTAAATTAAATATTAACGTTAAAAATTTATTTAATAATAATAGAAATTACGTAGAATATTTGACCAACAATACCTGAAGATACAAATCTCTGCGTTATTGGTCCCTCATTTCTACCTTGAGTTTCAACATCCATAATCTCCAAATAACCTCCTACTTTTAAAACTCTCAAAAACTCGTTTATTATCCTTTCTGTTTGTTTCTCGGGTATTTCTCCAGCCATAAAACGCATATATATAAAATCAAAAGTTTCATCATCAAATGGTAACCCTGATAAAATATCATAATATTGAACGCTAACATTTGACGGTATCGTCGGCGTGCTAAGACGAAGTAAATATGGTTGGTCAACACCGTAAAAGGTTGATTTTGGATATTGTGATGATACATCTAAAAGCCAACTGACAGTTCCACAGCTTATTAAATTAAAAGGTTGAATAGAAGAATTATATATTAACGTTAATCCAATAATATAGCTTTTAATTAGCTTGTAATAAAAATTGGGATCGAATTCGAATTTGATTCGAATTTGAGTTCGAATGAGTTCAAATTTGAATCGAATTTGAATTAAATATTAAAATTTCAATTCGAATTTAAATTCGAATTTGAATTTAATATTAAAATTTCAATTCGAAATTAGATTCAAAATAGATAATCCCAACTTTTTATAATGCTAAATGATAAAAAAAAAGATAAAATACCCAAAATCCAAGACTTTAGCACCGGCATTCAATTTCTCAACAACGGGTGCAGAAAAGTTGCTTCGCCATATATATTTAAATAGGTGATGTTGTAAAGCCAATCTGTCGCCACCATAATCTTTTTCAGGTAACGGATATAATAATTCCATATCATCTTCATCCGTACGTCCTATAGTAGTCGTCGTCGATTCATTACTTAGGTTGCTTAATTTACTAACTTTATCCATTTCTACGTTTTCTTTTTTAATAATATCAACCTTCTCAGATATTTTTATTGAATCAGCCAGATCGTTATTATGCGTAACGGGAATTTTGGGAAATTCAGAAAACTTTGAAATTTTTGAAAATTTGGAAAATTTGGAAAATTTCGTTTTTTTTTCGCTACTTGAATTTTTTGAAATATAGCACCCCATAACTTTTAAATAAATATATATTAAAATCTTTTTTGAAAAAAATGGTTGCAATGTTGTAAACAATACAGCAAATAAATATATATAGTTTTTTTATAAAAAAAAACAATACGTATGATGTGGGACTTTTTAAAGCATGAAAGTTAAGACAAGTTGAAATTGTTCAAAAATTATTTTGGATCGGTATTCGCCGTAAATATAAGTAGTTACACGAGTTATTTAGTTGAATTTGAAAATGTATAATAAATGTTACTAATTAAAACCTAAACGGATTCTTTCACCCTGTGTTTGGTTGTTCATTCAACCTTAACCAAATTATCTAACTGGTTTGGTGACAATTGACGAAATAATACAGGGAACACAGCATTTATGTTTCGTCAATCTTCCCCTTTATTTCTCTAATACGCAATATCACGTGCATTTAATTTACACGTGCGTTTCATCTCTACGTTACGTATGTACGTACGTACGTACTTATCTGTTATTGTGTGTTATCGTTATCAATAGTATTACACTCACCAATATGTGAAAATTTTCTTCATACAAATACGTAGTACGTTCATACGCTGGTGGTGTACCGAAATATATATGTGAAACTATGACCTGTTTATATATTAACGTTGCTTGGAATGATTCATGTACAGTATTAATACGCCATAAAAAAATGACAAAAAAAGGAAATATACAACACTAATTTAAAGTAACAGTACACTGGAAATTCCAGCTTAGCTATAACTTTTATTGATGCATCCGACTTATTCCCGAAATAGCTATGGCAAACGATTACTGTTTCATCTCCATCTTCATCTTAATTCTTCCTTTTGTCTAGATCATTTGAATTGTTCCAAACATTCTCCATTATTAGAATTCATATGAAAGAGATGCATTCATGTCATCATTCAAAAAAGTCTAAATTAATAATGATAGAACTTAATTAAATTTTTATAGAAACTTTATAGAAACTTACCAAACATATCCATTCATTACATTTTGAACATATATAATACGTACTCGTTCGGTACTCATCTATGTATAACGATAAGTACTTCCTCTTGTCCTAACCTCTGTCTTAATTCTCTGTACAAACCCTTAATAGGTCCAGACGCATATACTCGAGAATATAGATGCTGGTGAAACTTGGTGAATGGTGGTGAAACCGGCAAAACTGGTGAAAGTTAATACCGATACTGTATAAAAGCCAATCAAATTTTAGATAGTCACCGGCACTATTTAATTTCACCAGCATCTATACCCGTCACCATCAAGTGCTACTATAACGTTTGGATTGTTTACATATCTTAAGCTTGTTATCGACTTATTTCCATTGTAGACGGCATCAACGGATAGTTCAATAAAATTCAAGAATAGTATGTATTACGATGAGTGAGAATATATATTAAGCAAGCGAACTGGGTAATTGTGGCACATTTTTGAAGAAGGAATATCTAATTATGCAATAATGATAATAATATCGATAAACCTAGCCAATTAAAATGTATATTTTAAAATAAAATAAACAATATTCGAATTATTTTTAATTCATTTTTTTTTTTACGAGCTCTTGTGAATCCTATTATTGAATACCACTCGTGCTACAAGAGATTGACTCTCCCTTCATTGTTCCATACACAAATCTCTACGCCCTGGATCTAGACCTACCATTTGTTATTACGTAGTAATACGTACGTACGAACGTAGTAATATTTAAAGGATGATAGTTTCCTTTTTGGGGGGACGTCTAAAGCGGAGCTGATTCATATAACATATACTGTATATATTTATTGAATTAACATTATGGTTGGGGTCATCTTATATTAGGGTTAGGCTAGGTTTAGGTAGTTATTTATAAGCCAAATTGCCTTCCGAACATTTTTAATTAACCCACCCGAGGTAGGTTTAGGCTGCCGTTTTTTGTATTTTTCAGGTTTCGTTTCGTCGGCGATCGTCACAATTCCGTAATTTGATTGGCCAGAAATCACGTGATTGTGCTCTGCTTCCGACGACCCCTTTTTTTTGTCAAAGCCGTCGGTCATAATGCTAAATCCAAACCGACGACTTTGTGTAACTATTTATCCATTATAAATATTTCCAGGGTTGGCAATGGAGTCCAATGGAGCCCAATGGAGCTGTGAATGGAACCAATGGAGTTCTGAATAAAGTCAATGGATATTAGTTTATTGAACTCCATCCGCATAACCATTGAGCTTCATGAGTTCCATTAACACCTTGGTCGAGACCCATCCAGTTTACGTACCAAAAAGAACATGAAGATCAATAATAATAAATAAAGATGTAAGAGGAAATAGGGGAAAAAATTCAAAGGCCTCGACCCATATTTCATGATGCAGAATTGTTCACATTATTTTTTTAAAAGTTTTAAGGATATGCCATAATAATTTAAGGGACCACCATGAATTCTTAATGTCATGATGTCTCTTGCTTTTTGAAATATGTAATGGCAACACAAATACGCCTAAGATGATCTTGGATTACTAAATTAGAAAGATGTAAGGTTGGTTTTACTTACTTAAAGAGGATTAAGAATATGACGTGAAATGAGAGCAAAATTGTATAATTGTATAAGAACTTTTTTTTTAAATTTCCATTCGATTCATCTTTGCAGTCGGTTTTGAAGATTTTTTACTACATTATTTTGTGGGTTGATAGAATTTTATAATTGCTTTAAGAATTTTAATTGCTTTTTTAATTTCCATTCGATCAATCTTTGCAATCGGTTCTGAAGATTTGTTACTACATGATTTTGTGAATTGGTAGCATAAAACTTTGCTGCGAACTAACAATTTGACCAAGACCTCTAAAAATTATAATCATTTAAAAAGTTATACTACATTATCATTATGAAATATTGCCCGTGGTGTTATTTCGCGTAGTAAAATCAAATAAAATAGTTAACTTGTGCTCCATTTTGTCCACTCTATCCTTTGCCTGCACAAAACATAGTTATGATCTCTAATTGGGATCGGAATATTGTTTCCAAGAGATGGGTTATGTAGATATTGACAAATCGGCTCTCCTTGAATGAAATAAAAGTCATACATTTGACTGCATAATCAATAATAGGTGTCAATGCAAGCTCAGCGAGAAAACGATTGAAACCAATCTTTGTGTTACTGTTTGTTTCTCTGACTCCTTTTTTTATAACAGATTTAAGAAATTTTATAAAGGATATTCTTCTTGCAGATACACGACTGTGTTCGACTGTGTTCAATGCTGCCACACTTACATGGCTCTTATTAATTAAAATATGTTTATCATAATACTATTGCTAGTGTAAACTTGCATTTACAGTAATATAAAACTTACTTTTCGTTCATGTACACTAGGTTTGGTACAGTCAAATCTCTCTATAATCACACCCTTGGTTTGAAGAATTTGGTGCGTATAGAGAGTTTGTGCTTATATAGAGGTTAAATTTTATGTGTTATATAAGTTGGCTTTAAAAATGTGTGTTATTATAACAAATGTGACTATAGAAGGATGACTATATAGAGAGGTCTGCCTGTATTATGAAATTGTTTTTTACGCTTACGATTAATCATTTAAAAAAATAAACCAAATCTTTAGAATTTGTTTAGAGAAATTAATATAAAGAATTATATAATTGTTTTGTAGTCATAAATTAAAAAAAATTATTTTCAAAAGTCTATTTTATGTATTTAGAATTGGTAGCAAATATGCGTATACTAATCTTTTCTCCCGAAATTGCTCAGATAGAAAAAAAGGAGAAAATAGCATAATAACTACACCATAATATTTAACAGTTTCCTCAAGTCTTGATCGGAACTGATTAATTTTCATATCATCCGATTCGTCTTAGTAAAACGAATCGAATGGTACTAAAATTGTTCAATTCTGATAGTGTGTCACTATACCCCCTGCCGACCTAGAGTCGGATTTTTATAGCATTTAAAATAGCACTATTTTTTTAGCAAAATAGCTAGCAGCAATTGTCTTTTGCTAAGATGTGAAATTTGCTACTTTTGCGCTAAACATGTGATTATTACCTTTGTTCTTGAACTGATTTACATAAATGAGTAATTATATGCATATTTTAGATGATAACCGGAGAATTCATTGAAATTATAGACGAAGAACTCACAGAAGGAAAAATATGATTACATTAAAATTTATACATAATAGATATAAATTTATAATAGCTATTTTGCTAAATTTGCTAATTTCTCTATCTATTTTTGCTAATTATTTTTGCTATCAACGTCCGGGCCCTGGCCCGACCTTACTCAGGGGAAGGACCCAATCAGGGCAGAAAATACCTATTCATTTCTCAGCCATGCAACCATTGTTTCAATTGTTTTTTTTTGATACATTATAATAATGTAAATAGTTTGAATCGATAATGATATTTTTGAATATTTGGGATGAATAGGTATTTTCTGTTCTGCACCAATGTTCTTTGAATCAAAATTCATAGCATTAATATTGAAAAAATTAGTGTTTACAGGAAAAAATTGTATAGAATATAGAGGATAGTTTTTCTTATTTTGGTAACAACATAGCAAATAGTTATTTATAATTTGGAAATAGTAACTATCTAAGTAGTTATTACAATTTGTATTAGTACAAATATAAATAAAAACATTGCAAGAATAAAAGCTCAAACTAATTAATCTGTGACTAAACCTATTAGAGTGGTCAAAGATTATAATAATAAGAATAGCATAGCAATAACTTGTATCTGATAAATTCCGAAATCATTGTTACACAAACTATTTATATGGACAATTGAAAATTTGATATGTCGTTGTAGTTTAAAACCCGGCAATTTCACTATCTGTTTACCCATAATAAGTTAAACCAGAGGTATCATATTTATTAATAAAATTTCTTCGTTTAGAGTGTTTCTAGTAGAAAATCTTTTCTAATCGTTTTCAATCGCTTTCTCCACGGAGTTTTCATAAGAAAAAAGGTAAACGTTTGGTAATTGGTAGAGTTTATTAAACGAATCTTAGATTTATAAAGTGTTAAATCGTGAGTGTAATACTAATATATGATTTTATGCATTTATTAAATAGGCCAAGCGATATAAAGCTTTTAACAGGTTTATTTATTTGAACCAAGAATTTTATATATGGAACTTATTATTTTTAAACAGATAAGAAAACTAAGATTAAGATCTTTAATATCTAGTAAATATGGTGACGCGGTCTAATTGATAGTATAGTCCAAGAATAGTAATATACGACAATATGTTTTTAGTAAAGTTTAATAGTTAAAAGATGAATTAAAATTACTTTGGATTTAAAAAAAAGCTTCGCTTTTGTACGTAAAAATAAATTTATTTCGCTTCATTTCGCGAATCGAAAATATTTTAATTGATTTGATTGGTTAATAGTCACGCATGGATCTACATAAATTAGCCAATCACATAAATGTTATAACCCATGATTTTCCGTAAAAATACGATGCTTTCCCGAATTAGTGAGGTATTTAAATGATGTTTGAGAACATTGATACAACGGTGAGCGAAATACGACTAACGACCATAATAATAGATCTTAACACAGATTGAAGAATCATTAAAAGGAAATCAAAATCGTGATGTCGTAAAGATTTCTCTTCCTGTCAATGAACTTAATAAAGTTGGTGTGCGTAACGCAATAAACGCAAAATACGATGCTGAAATTATTGATGGCAACTTATTTATTAAAGTGAGTTTCATTCTGACTTACACAACCTACATGACCTACATGTCTGTTAACAACCTTGTATCAGTTTGATGGTGGAGTCAAGGAAAGAATCCATCGTCGAATAGCAAATTCGTGTGAAGCGCAAAAACCAGAATGGTTCACAGAAGTTAACATGATATGTATGGTTAGAAACAGTCAGCTTCGGCCTGATGTAGGCATATGGTTCCGAACGCCAACACATGCACAAATGATTGAACCTATTGCAAATTTTTGTCCACCACCAGATATTTGGATTGAGGTAAAATTGTATTAATTTTCTATTATAAAGAATACAACAGCTTGGATTATATGATTTGAACCATTTTAGGTATTCTTTAATCGAGATCCAGATCGTAGCAATGTTATAAACAAAATCGATTTTATTCAGAGAACTTGGGTGGGCATCGAATTTGTTGGAATCTGTATTCCCCATTCACAGAATCCTATTTCTCCGAATCCACATCCAGGATCAACTATCACTTCTGCAACAAGTCAAATTATCAGACCTTACAGAGCCCCATATGTTATTTATTGGGACCTAAATGGCAACTTGATCTACTATATAATGGACTGGAATCTTAATCTTACACTTCGGTGCGGTTTGACAATTGATTTCAATATCGTACTTGATATACTTTCTGCATCTTATTAGACTGTAGTCCAACAGTGATTTCAACGTGCGACTTTTCCTTACCAATACATAGGAAAATATTAATTGTGACTGCATATCGATCTTAATTGCTAAATAATATGTGATCAGAATTATGTTGATGCGTGATCACGGCTCATAGTATATACTAAAACATGAATATGTAATAGCAATACGTAGTATTTTTCTGATGCTATTTTTGCACATGCTTAAAAATAATAAAGCCCGAAATGTGGGTAGTGTTACGAAAAATTTTGTCAAAATTTTTCTTACCTTGCAAATTTTCGTTATATAGTTCTTTATTCATGTAAAAGCAGTAAACTACGTAGTCACGATAGTATTAGCACGTGTACGGGAATGGAACTTGGATTAATAGTCTTTTCAGAAGAATGAGCAATGGTATGTTATTATTATTTATGATTATATTTTTGAGAATCAATTTATTTTTCGTCATCTCACACAGAATGTTCTACCAGAAACTAATATGAACGCGCGCATGCTATTCATTTCTTATCAAACATCAGCCAACGTGGAAGATTCTAATAGAATATTTCAAGCTAGTGTCCGTCATTATGATGGTTT